CGTTTGATTTAGCAGCCGAACCACCCAGACCAGGATATTTGGTATCGGTTAGTTCAAAGTATAAAAAATTCATAAAAGAAAAAGTAAACGTTATAACAAAAATGACGGAGCCTTACGTGCCTTTTTGGAAAATTCGAATACCCAATATGGTTCTTAGTTTTTCCGTGGTTTTATTATTAGTATGTATTCAGTTACTTGAATTTAAAAAAACAAAAAAATGAAATGCATGAATAAAACAAAAATTTATTATTAAAAAAAAAAAAAAAATTTTAGGTTAGACCTGCAGTTGGAGCTGTTTTTGCTGTCGTGTTTTACAGAATGTCTGCATTATCTGCTTTTTCATTGATCAAACCCCCCGATGAACAAAATTCCTACACTTATACGGTTATTGTTATTCCAGCTACGGCTGCTGTTGTTAATTTAATTTGCGTTACTGTACTTAATTACGTGAGTCATTTTTTTTTTTTTTTTATTTTAAATTTCCTCGATTACAAGCAAAATTGAAAATGGCGAATATTAATTTTTTTTTCCCCTTCAAGGTATATGATCGATTGGCTGTTTATCTTACCGAGCTTGAACTTTTGAGAACGCAAACGGAATTCGAAGATAGTCTCACATTGAAAATTTATTTATTTCACTTTGACGAAAAAATAATAATGAAAAATAATCACACTTGTAAATAATTTGTAATTTTTAGTTAAGATTGTAATAATCGAATTATTTTTAACGTTTCAGGTATCAAGAACCTTGTTGGTACTCTTTTAGAATAACGTAGCAAAACATCCAATTATTTTTTTCAAAGGAGTTACGAACGAGTGAGGTCCTATTGAACTTGGCAAACCTTATAAGTTAGGCCTAAAAGATTCTAGGTACGTTTTCTAGGATTCTTGGTACGTTGTCCAAGGGAAAACGGTGGAAAATGCATTAAGCAGCATTTAATTCAGAAGAAATTACAAAGAAAAGGGTAAACATAATAATAAGGAGGCAATAAACGTTGTCTCTATCTTTCAAATACAAACAACAACAGGAAGTTTATTAAATAGAGGAAAATTCAAAACCATT